AACGAGCACGAAGGCGACATGAAGGCTTTGGCCTGGTGTCCCGATGTGCCGAATCGCAACACCCGCAGCGGTGTCTATAGCTCCGATGTTCTCGCGAGCGCGAGCTACGACAACACAGTCCGCATCTGGCGCGAGGATGGGGATGGCGAGTGGGTGTGCGTCGCCGTTCTCGAAGGCCACGAGGGCACCGTATGGGGCGTGCAGTGGGAGTCGAGGCCGAGGACGGATGGTGCCTTTCCTAGGCTTCTGACGTACTCTGCTGATAAAACCATACGAGTTTGGACTTTGAGGCAGGAAGAAGACGACGTCGCGACGACAAATGAGTCGACGACTGCTCCAAGCGACGGTACCTTCCGAGGCGGACTCGGCGGCATCCCAAACACCATGCGCCAGTCCCTACGTGAGGATTGGTACTGTTCTGAAGTGCTTCCAACAGCGCATACGAGAGACATCTATTCGGCCACATGGAGTGCATCAACAGGCCTCATTGCGAGCACGGGCAGCGATGGTGTCATAGCTGTGTTTGGGGAGGGTGAGAAGGCGGAAGTAGGCAATAGGTGGCGGCTGCTGACCACAGTCCCAAATGCCCACGGACCATACGAGGTGAACCACATCACTTGGTGCCGTAGGTATGATGCGGGAACTGAGAGGAAGGGGGAGGAGGAGATGCTTATCACTACGGGCGATGAAGGATTGGTGAGGCCTTGGCAGGTTGTTGTGGCAAAGTGAGGTGGTTCCCTTTAAGGCGCCTCAGAGTAGCATATACCAGCCATGTAGCCCAAAGGGCAATAAAAAAAAATTCATTCTGACAGCTGTTAGAGAATAGATAGCTGATCGGACTGACTTGTTTGTTATCAGCGTCTCTCTCTTCTTTTCTCTCTGTAGGCCGAATCAACTCGTCTGTAGCTAGGCATCTGGACGCTCGGTCAGATTCGGTGAGAGCTTTACCGAAATTGTGCCGTCGCGAACAGCGTGAACTGGAAAGTCATCGCAAATCTTCGTTTGAAGACCATCTTGAGTCAACACGGCACGGTGCGGTCGCAAGACCCTCGATACTCTCCGAATGCATGCCAAAGGGCCTCGCGCCCTCTCCTCGTCGTCGGTGGCAGCCCGCGCGACCCTGTCTGCAGTGTCCACACGCCGTTGCTTCCAGACTTCGCATCGATTCCGCGCCGATACCCCCGAAAACCCTCCCGCCGCTGACAATGGACGCCAACCGGGCAAGCCAGACGGAGACCAGCCCAGCACCAGTCGCAAACAGAACAATGCCGTGACGGAACCTCCTGTCGAGTCACCGATACGTCGTGTGCGCGGCAGTGTTTTTTCCTCTGGCCGACAGCGGCCACATCGGGCCAGGGTTGTTGATGACTTCCCTCCCATCAAGCTGCCCCAAAGCTTTCTAGATTCCAACATATCCGTCTTCGACCCCGCAGAACGCTTGCGTATTCTTGCTGCGGATCCGATCTGGCATAGAGGCTATGTGGGTGCCCAATGGCACGACTGGCTGTGGCATGATCTGGAGGTGGTTCTCGCGACCAGGCTTCGTTTGACGAGAGCGTCCTACGCACTGCCCAGGCTGGCCTGCTGTCTGGTAATGACCTCGAGGCTGTCTCCAGGCGCATTGGAGTCCTCGGCGAGACGGCGCAATGGCTAGACCAATGCCTGGGAGACATGTGGTCACCTGCATTCATGCGACCATCCTCCGAGTCCGAGTTTCCAAAAGATCTCTCGATCGCCTTTCTGGAGGCCAAATCGACGTCCGATATCGTCTCGATCATTCTGTCACCCGAGAGGAAGGTTGACATTCCACGACACAAGCTTCTCTCCAAGGACAAGCGCAAAAAGGTTGCCAGTGACGACGACTTCTTGCGAGCGCGTATCGACGACCATATCCGACGAATCGGCAGCCAAGAGGAGGCCAGTGCCGAAAACGAACCTCCGGTGGTCACCGAAAAACTTCCACCAAGCCTTGAAGAGCACGGATCTCGGATATATGACAACAAACTGCTAGGAGAGTTGGCTTCGGCTGTACGCGCCGAGCTACACCTACGACCCGACGAAAACTGGGTGCGCCGGGAGCTGAAGAGACCGCTGGTGGTGGTTAACATACCCAACTACAACGGCACGTACCCCTCTCAGAGGCTCCTCAAGCGTGTTGCGGCACAGGTTGACGCCAACCTCATTCGAATCGACGCTCAGGACCTCGCTGCGCTGGTTGGAGGATATCTTGGCCAGGATTCTGCCTATTATAAAGGCTCCATGTCAATGCTTGCGTATAGGACAGCCGAGATGAATGGAAGACTGGCAAAGGGAGCAGAAACTTCGACTCTCTCCGTCGACGATGAAATGTCAGGGGATATCGAGGCTGCGTGGGTGAACATCCGTCAACATGGCTCTGGCAGCGCTTACAAGAGCCCCCTCGAGGAAGAGCTCCAGAAAATCAAGGAAGGCGCCAAAGACTACGTGCTGCCTTCTGTCGATCGATGGGAAAATCTCAAGATCAACGCTGCGTTGGATCATATGGTCCAAGCAGCCATCGCCAAGTCAACCGAGGCTCAACAGCCACTCATTATTCATGTGGACAACTATGTTGAGCTTACTATGACACTCGAGGGCGCCCTGCTTCTGGGACGACTCCGCAGTATCGTGGACGGATTGTGGCGAGACGGAAAGCGCGTTGCCCTCGTCGGCACGTCAGCAAACGAGGACCCCTCGGAGCAGTACGTGTCTACGCTGGGGGAGATCGCTGCTGAAGAATGTCTCATCACGTTCCCTCTGCAACACCAGCGGATTCCGGACTGGCAAGCTAAGAAGGAGCGCCGTGAAGCGATGGACTTTGTGCAGGAGAATCTGCGAAACGTTCTAGCAGTGTCGCGATCGATGAACGGCGACTTCGAGTCCGAAAGCGAACACTTCTCTACCTTACTTTCCAGCCTCAACTCAGCACACAGACTAAGCCAAACCCCGGACGGTATTGACATTGATCTCTCAGCCTTTCCTCCCAGCTTCACCACCTCAGTACTCTCTGGCCCGGACGTGTATCATATCGCTCGGCTGTTCCACGGCTTGAAGCTTAACCAACCCAGTACCAAGACAGCGCTGCAGATTTTTTTGGACGTCATCGGGTCACACAGCGCCAACATTGTCCATGCCAGTAACAAAGCTGACGAGGAAAAGGAGACTTCTTCTTCGTCACGAACAACAACCCAGCAAAAGGCCGAGCCCGAGCGTGTCCAGGTGGGCGGCCACAAGTATAACGAGTTTGAGAAGAAGCTTTTGACGGGTCTTGTCGACGTGAAAGAGATCCGGACCACCTTCGCCGACGTTCACGCGCCACCGGCCACCATATCTGCCCTCAAACTCCTCACGTCGCTCTCGCTCGTCCGGCCCGAGGCCTTCGCGTACGGCGTTCTTGCCAATGACAGGCTTCCCGGCTGTCTCTTGTACGGCCCGCCAGGCACGGGCAAGACTCTACTGGCCAAGGCTGTCGCCAAGGAAAGTGGTGCCAGCATGCTCGAGGTCAGCGGCGCCAGCATCAACGATATGTACGTCGGACAGAGCGAGAAGAATGTCCGCGCTCTCTTCTCCCTTGCCAAGAAGCTGAGCCCCCTCGTCATCTTCATCGACGAAGCCGACGCGCTCTTCGCCGCCCGCGGGCAGTCGAGGTCGCGACCCTCGCATCGCGAGACGATCAACCAGTTCCTCCGGGAGTGGGATGGCATGAGCGACACGAAAGCGTTCATCATGGTCGCGACCAACCGGCCTTTCGATCTCGACGATGCCGTGCTCCGGCGTCTGCCCCGCAAGATCCTGGTTGATCTACCCCTCCAAGAAGACCGCGAATCCATCCTGCGTATTCTGCTCAAGGGCGAGCAGCTCGATGCCTCGGTGTCCATTGAAGACATCGCCCATCGTACTGTCCTCTACTCTGGCTCCGATCTGAAGAACCTGACTGTCGCCGCCGCCATGGCCGCTGTGCAGGAAGAGCTCGAACAGGCTGCCCTGCATACGGGTTCAGAGCCGTATGTTTACCCTGAGCGACGAACGCTGCTCAAGCGCCACTTTGACAAGGCGTCCGGGGAGATTGCTGCCAGCATCAGTGAGGATATGGACAGCCTCAAGTCCATCAGGAAGTTTGATCAAAAGTACGGCGACCAGCGGAGTCGCAACCGCAAGCCCAAGACAATGGGCTTTGGTATTATGCCAACCCCGACCGACGCAGAGGATGCCCGCGTGCGGCCAGCTGTGCCTGCATAGGCAGCAAACTGGACGATGGCTGTATCGATAGACTTTTACATTTTGTACGATTACGCTTCTGTACGTCCCTGTACCACCATATTGTCGATTGATGGAAGCCAAATAGAAGGGGATGGGTTAGTCAAGTACTGCAAACGCTGCTGAGCTCTGAAAGCCATGTGGCTCAATCCTGATTTTTGAAATGATGAAAGTTGTAGAATTTATCCCTTACACAATATGCCTGGCTCTCGATTAACAGCACAGACTGACTTCCTGTGATCTCCCTGTGCATCGCCTCTATAAACTCCGGCTGATATTTCTATGTTACAACATGCGCGAACAAGCGGCCCGGCTGCGCCCTGGCCAGCCCATCTATTGGTTTTCGGTCGTGGCCTGTACACCTTCTGCAGCCAGAGCACGCTGGTAGTCAGCCTGTGCCTTTTTCAGGGCATCGGTGATGGGCTGCATCATCTGGAAGACAGCTTTCTGGCCGCCCTTGACATGTTTAGGGGGCCAGCTCTTGTCTTTTGATGCCCGTCCTCTGGTACTTCGCCCCCCGGAACCCCCCCCCCGCCTTTGGGTTTCCAATAAAGGGCTTTTCCTGGGCCTTTTTTCGGGTTCCCC